TCTCTTGTTAAGTGGAACATTTGTTGAATGAGTTTTGCCTCATTTTATGACTTTTTTTGGCCTCAGTTGTTAAGTGAATCATTGCAGTTGATAAGTTAGTAATGGTTGTTAAGTGAATCTGGCTTCTCCATTGACTGTGCCTGTCAGAAGGTCACAAAAAGTGATCCCATGAGCTTGGGACATAGCAACGATCATAAATATGAACCAGTTGCCAAGCATCTGAATTTTGATCATAGGGATACTGCAAAGGTGGTAACTGAAAAACAGTCATAAGTCACTTAGTTCAGTGCTGTTTTAACTCCGGTCACCAAATGAATTATTGTAAGTTAAAGACTACCTGTAGGTTCTGAGTTTATTCAGTACCTGGAGTGACAAGTCAGCTTGTGTTTCACAATATCTTCAGCTTCTAAAGCCTTAGAAATGGAATTTTCTTGTTATCTACACAGGATGCACAGAATAAACTGAATGGAAGCTAATAAGACTAACACAGACAATTTAATAGGCAAGATTGTCTCCTTCAGAGCCATTCTTGGTCTTCATGTGGAGAAATCCCATAAGGCTAAGTAGAAGAGGTTCCTTCCATGTGTCTTTGCTCAGGGATGGCATCTGCAGCAGCCATGGGAATATGCCTCTTCTTCATTGCCCGCCTCCTCTCTGGCATTCAGAAAGCCTGGAAAAGACATTATGGATGCAGATTTGGGGAGGAGGAGGGGGAGTGGAGAATTATATTTTTGTCCCTCTGGTAGTGGAAATTGTTTTGAACTGTGGTAGGGTTCACTGTGTTCTACTCCAAGGATCTTATCTGTGTGGTGTTTAAAATTTATGTCATCTTTTGTATTTTGGTTGTAGTACATATTACAAAGGGGGAGTTGAGTTATCCCTTTGAATTGATAGTGACTACAGCATCCCATAAAATAAGTATCCAGCTAAGCAGATTATTTCTTTATCATTTGACTAATATTTTCATATGTGTTAACATGTTTCTTTTATTGTAGTCCAGTTCTCTTTAGGACTTGTAAAAAAAAGGAGAGGGAAAAGTTCAACAATGCAGAAATAAAAAAGATGATCCAACAAAAAAGGCAGTGATAAATTCTCTCATAAAAGTAATAATTAAAGTTTGCTATTCAAGACTGGTTTGCTTTCTCAACAAAACGTTACAAAATCATCTTTCTTAGAATAAATTTTTGCTGCAATCCCCAAAAAACAACAGAAAACAGACCTGATTATGCCCTGTAGATCTCTGAGAAATGAACAAAAATATAAAACAATTTCATATATGCAGGCATCTCAACAGCCACACACAACATCTCTCAGAAATGAAATTCTTTATTGTATATATTCCTCTTCCATAAACATAGCATAAAATTGGTTGAAGCACCTCTTTGCTATTTCTAATAAATAAGCAAAAATCTTAGATATGAACAGAAGCCATTCTACGGGTATCTTTTATTGGTAAATATAGAGATAAGTTTCGCCTGTTCAGTGCTTTTGAATCTCCTTTGAAGAAGCCATTTAAATTCATTTGCTACATTTCTGAGCCTCACAAGAGTCCTGGAACTGAAAAAAAAAACTAGAAAGACAAAGATGCTGTAATGCTCACATTTATTTAGATAATTACTGGATATGGCAGCCCAATTCAGACATTGTGACTTTGGGTGGCTTACATAGAAGTAAAACAAGAGGAACCAGATAAAACAACAGAAAATAGAAGAAAATGAAGCCAAACCAAAATAATAAATCATTGAAACATGATTAAATACCTTGCCCAATCCCCAGAGGGAGAGTTTTTCCATGCAATTGGTACACAAGGTGACTTTTCAAGCAGGAGCCAAAAGCCCAAGATCACCTCTAAATAGGTCACCAGAACCAAAGCAACTGAGTGGCATGCAGTTGCTGATGGGCTAAAATATTGTATATCTTTTATTTAGTGGGATGCAAGCAACAGTATGTTGGCATGCAAGCTAGTCTCTTAGATCATGGATAACTTAGCTTGCATCACATAGCACGTATGCATTTGGTGTAAAATGGCTTTGGTTACATTTATTTTAGAAAAACAGAGTGGTAGAGGTGAGTTGTTATGGGCTCATCTAATGACAACATATGTTAGATTGTGACTTGGAATATAAGAGTAAATGCTAAAGAGCATGGATTACTTGATTAAATGAAAGAAGCAAATATAGGTATATTATATGTCTGTGAAACTAAGGGCTTATCTGCACTGCCTCTTGCCCTGTTACCAGGCACTCCTGTTTTGGCTGAGGTCATTTAATACTAATCCTAGCAGTTCACTGCTACATCTTAAAGGCAAGAGTGACCCTCACAGCTGAATCCATGGTTATTCTGTGTGTGTTCCAGAACCACCTTAGCTAGGAATGCTACAGCACAGGTAGTATAATATTTATAACACTATTAACAAATATGGTAGAAGGAAGCTGGTTTGGAATCTGTAAAAAATTTTAATGACTGTATTTATTTCCCTGAGTCATTTATATTTCCCTGTGAGGTTGCAACATTTTTCATTTTTCCAGTCAATTAGGGTAGTAGGATTTAACCCTCAGGTCCAAAAGGTTGCTTTCTACTTACTTCATGACTGTAAAAATGGTGAAACTGCTATTATATCATTCTTGCTAAAATTCACTCTAAAGGATGTTGGAGACCAACAGAATAGTGCGCATTTATTTTAAATCTGTCTGTATAGGCATTTTGATACTTTAACTTTGTATTTATCCATTATACCCATCTTATCTTTTTTTCTATCTATTCATATATGTCCAGTAAGACCTACCCAGAAAAAGAAATTAGCAACTACTTTCCTAGAACAGGAAAAACGGAAGATAGCACTCCAGCAAGAACATTGACAGTGGAAGGATTTGGTGTTTGTTAGGTCTCAATGCCAACAGATTGACAAAGTGTCATTCTGGAAAGAATTTTCTTAAACAAAACAAAAATAAAGAAGTGAATGAAGTTAGTATAATACTCTGGGGTTGATGAATACATGCAGAGGAGATATGACAAATGAAAACTAAAATATATGTCAGAAAAGATGAAGTGCTGTTAAAAAAAAGTTATACTTATGAAATTAAGATCCTGTACGTTGACAATAGTTGTAGGTTAAACTCTTGTGAATGGTGTACATGCCAGCGACGAGTTTCAGTAAAATTGTGTGATGTTCTGAATGAATATGATGTAGGAAAAAATATCTTGTTGGGTAACTTCAATAGATGGTTTGAACAAGGTGAGAGAACACAAAAAACTAAAGGAGCAATTCAAAAAACTAAATAAGCAATGAGACCCCCAAGAAGAACAAACGAGAATGGTAACTGGTGTCTGCTTAGGAAAATCTGTTTCAAATATGTAGTTTAAATGTAAGTTTATTCATGTGCAAAAATGTTTATGTTGAAAGGTTAAGAGAATTAATTAGTAAAGAGTGCAAGGATGTAGAGAGGTTATGTTTATGAAACTACCACCATTTTTGAATAGTGTGAAGAATGGATTTGAAGGAAAAGAGAACTTAATGGGGAAAAGCCTAAAACAAAATATAACTGAAACTAGAATAGCAATAGCACTTAGACTTATATATCACTTCACAGTGCCCCACTGCAGCTCTTGACCCCAGTAGGATAAGTCCTACATGAAAAATATGAATGAAAAGGGTAGATAAGGTGCAAGAATCTAGACCAGGGGTGTCAAACTCAATTTCATTGAGGGCCACATCAGGGTTGTGTTTGAACTCGCGGGGGGGGGGCTGGTCAGGGTGAGCATGGCCAGCTTGATGTCATTTGTGTCAGGAACACCTGTGGTGGCCTGAGCACTCCGCCAACGAAAACGGGCTCATGAGCTCCATTTTTGGCTGGGACACCCTCCTGCAACCCTCTGCCAGTGAAAACGGAGCTTGGGAGCAAGCTCTGTTTTCCCTGGCAGAGGCATCACGGGCCAGTCTTTCACTGTTTCCAGGGCAGTTCCATGGGCCAGATCTAAGCACCCTGTGGGCTGGATCTGGCCTACGGGCCTGAAATTTGACACCCCTGATCTAGACACTGGAACAGAATGAAAACACTGAAGCTGAAGGATCAGGTTAGGGGCAGACTGTCAAGAGAAAATGTATCTGGCTGATAAGAGTCGACACTCACTTGATGGCACGAAAATAATCATTGAGTGCTGCAGAAGTGTGTGATGTAATGCTAATAGAAAGTAGAAAAATAGCAGTCAATAGATTTATGTGAAAAGGAAAAAGTATTGTTGAAAAAATGCAGTCAAAGAGAGCAAGGAACATTCAAGAATGAAAGAAGCAGAGGAAAAGCTTTGATGGAACTAAAAATATTTTAGAAAGCAGAGGAAAAGCTTTGATGGAACTAAAAATATTTTAGAAGTGGGTGAAAATGGCCTAATTCAGACCTTCAAATAGAATAACATAATAACAGAGTTGAAAGGGACCTTGGAAGTTTTTTAATCCAACCGCCTGCCTTCCTCAAGTAGGAAACTATACCATTTCAGACAAATGTTTGTCCAATCTCTCCTTAAAAACCTCCAGTGTTGGAGCACCAACTTCTGGAGGCAAGTCGCTCCACTGATTAATTGTTCAGTCAGGAAATTTCTCTTTAGTTCTAGGTTGGTTCTCTCCTTGATTCGTTTCCATCCATTGCTTCTTATCCTGCCTCCAAGTGCTTTGGAGACAAGGTGGAGAAATAGAGTGAAACGATTGGAAGTGATGAAATGCTTTAGCATGAAACGAAATCAGATTTAGTCGCATGTTTTCTTATCTTGAGAGTTTAATTTGGCGGGCTCACTATTTCTTATTTTGCACACTGCATGATGTTGCTTATGCAGGTGAAAAAGTATGTACATAGTACATAATTGATTATCTGTTTGCATCCTTTAGCTGGAGGCTTAATGAGCTACCAAGATGAACTGGATGCTGCAAAATGTGTGTATTGAGAAAAAAGAATAGAATACCATAAGACCTGGAAAGGCCCCATGTCTATTAAGCCAAATGCACCTTTAATTTCAAAATACTGAGAGATAACCCATGTGGGCATTGCCATATCATTCTCAGTATCTATCTTGCTTGTTTCTGCTGTTGGTGCAGAGCACAGGACCTGAGCAAGATAGAATCAGAATTTGGTCTTCATCCATAGGATTGTTATTTTTAATAACTGCTATGCACAGGAAGGACCAGAGAAATGCATGGCACCACTGAAACTTGAATAATTAATGCTATATTAAATATATCTTTTGATTTGAAAATAAAACAGCAGAGAAAACAATTCACATGTAAAATTGCTGAACTCTGAATCAATAATAAAAACATGCAAATATAACTGAAAAATTAATGTCAGTGTACTTAACATATGTTCAGGTAGTCCTTGACTTATGACCATTTGTTTAGCAACTACTTGAAGTTACAAAGGCACTGAAAAAAATGAATTGAAACTGGTCCTTACATTTACAGCCATCGTAGAAACCCCACAGAGATTAAAACTGAGATGTTTGCCAACCGGCATGTATTTACGATAGGTACAGTGACCTGGTTCACGTGATCATCGTTTACAACCTTCATAGGGGACTTCTAACCAGCAAAGTCAGTGGGTGAGGCCGGATTTACTTAATGACCATGTGACTCACTTAACAATCATGGCAAAAAGATCATAAAATTGGGCATGATTCATCTATTAACTGTTTCACTTAGCAACAAAAGTTGCAATCCCAGTAATGGCCATAAGATAAGGACTACCTGTAATTTAAAAATCTTATTAACAAAACAAGCTTATTAACAATATAGCTTGAATTATATTTCCTAGGCACTAAATGACACAACATTCATGTGTTTCAGCACATACTTTCCCATATATTCATGAAAAATTGAATTAAGCCTTTAATTGAATTATTCAGTATGAAATAGCCCTAACTTTACTATAGTACTATCTATATTGAGATAGGTAGCAATACAGAATGGAACTGTTAAATTTTAAGCAATAGAAAATTTACAGAAAACTAATAAGTGTCAGTATTGCATAATAATATTCTGTTTTATCCTGCATATAACAATATTGTAAAACTAAATGCTCCAATTGTAAGTTATGTTAGGTATTGGTATGCATTTGAATTAAGCTGGACCTTATATTCCCTTCAGAAGCAATATGCCATGGACTGAATCAAACAAGGCCAAACCTTCACCAAAAAGCAAACCACACAATGAGGCGTTGTAAATTATTCAACTTGGTAGCACGCTATAGTGCAGGTGTCATTTTGTAAAAAAATTGCCGCAATTTAAAAAACTCTGAATCTACATGCCTGGAACTTTTAAAAATTAGCAGAAATAGTTTTAAAACCACTAGATACTATTAAAAATTCCAGCTGAATCACTCTGCTGGACAGATTATAAAAGTGAAGGTATTGGGAGGAAATCAGGCTGATAAGACAGGACAGATCTTGACTCCCACATATACATTCATATATCTCTAACCTACACATTCACTAGCATATATTCAGTTATAACATTGGTCATATAAAAGTGGAAACGTATTTTGTAAAGGCAACCAAAAACAGCTGAAAAGATTTCTTGATATTATTTCCACACTGCTTGCCATAGCTTTGCCAAAAACCAGGATCATGGTACACACAGTTTATAAACAGAAAGCTACCTAATTTTATAAAAATAAATTCAATCTGGTAGAAAAACATAGCAATATTAAATAACAGATTCTAATTCTTTGCTCGGTTTCTCATATGAGTCCGATATAGGGAGCGGTTTGAGTTCCAGCATTTTTTCTGTGGTTTCTCCATTCACAGGTGTAGCTTGTTCTTTGCGTTTCCTCTTTTCATGCACCCATGGAATAGCACATAATATAATTCCTCCAATAATAGGTGGAACTCCTGCTAGGTAGAATGCTACATCATAGGTGCCCAGGTGATCCCGTAACTTGCCTGGAAAATGAAAAAAAAAATATAACACTAAAATTAACACTTCAAGCTAAATAGCTAGATTTTTCAGCAGGTTTTTTAAAATGTGGAAGTACTCCTGAGTTCACTATACATACAATAATTACCCAACGTAGGTCTTAAAATAATTTTTTAAAAATATTGTAGCTTAATAAAGCATTTCCTTTCTTCAAAAGAAGTCTAAAAAAAAGGAAAACTGCTACTGGATGATATAGAAATTGTGTTCAGGGAATTGATATTATAAGGAGAAAGAGCAGTGATTTTCTACAATCCCCCATTGTAGTAAACCTTTTTATGCTATTCCAATTGAAAGAATAAGAATAGAGATTCAGAAAAGTTATCTTTCCTCCAACAAGAAGCTTTTATTAGATCCTGGTTCTTGGCTGAGGGTGATTTTGTCAATGCAGATGATGTTCAAGTGTTGTTCCAGTTCTTTTGGGATTGCTCCCAAGGAATCTATTACTACTAGCACTACCTACACTTATTATCATTATCATGATGGTGATGGTGTCAGAAGGTATTTAGCCTGGATTTGGCATTTTTATCAACCTATCTATCATGTCCTGTCCAAGGATTTGAGATAGGCAGATATTGTTGGAAAATGATGATAGTAAATATGTTGTGGCCACCTAACCTAAAGGATTGGGCAGTTTACAATGTATTAAAACACACAGTTAAAACAGATCAAAACATAACAGCAGCATTACTATTTGATATGCTTTTTACATATTTAATTAAACATTTCTCCCTACCTGCAATAGGTGGGCCAACTGTCATTGGTATAGACATCAAGCCTAAGAGGAATCCAATTGCTTCGGAAACATGATATGCGCCAACTAACTCAAAAGCAATTGGTGCCATGATACAAATGAAGCATCCATCAAAAAGGCCCATGATAAGGCAGACAACAATAAGAGCTTCAAAGGATCTGCATAACGGGATCATCATAGACATCAGGCCAATTAACAAAAAGGATATCACCTATACAAAAGAAATACAAGAGGAACAGAAATAGTGAAAAACAATGAAGGGATTCTATTATTGTATCCATTACAAATGATATTTTTCATCAAAAATTAATAAAGTTTTTTTCCACCTAGGTCAAGCTTAGATGTTCTTAAACAAACAAACAAAACTAAGCAAAATTTGACGTAGTTGTACTTAAATTCCTTATATTCTTCAATTCAAGGAAATCCCAAAGTAGTAAACTAGAGAGTAAGAAAATTATAACTGCTACTATAAAGTAAGTAATAGCAAACCCCTTTTTTATTGTAATCAAGACAACTAAATTGATGTGTCTATATAGTCATCAGAAGTCTATTTGACTTAGGAAAGTGTCCTTTTATCCAACTGTGTCTACTTGCTGATAGAAACTTCTTCCATCAATGGATTAGTATATCTGTGAACAAAGTATATGATTTTCACATTTCTTTTTTTCTGTGCAAACCCCTCCAACAACTTTCAACTTTCAACAGACAGCTCAGGGCGTCTTTGGAAGATTGCATGTGGATTACCAGAGAAAGAGAAATTAATTAGCATTATTCTTTTTCCCTCCATGAAAGCCATTCTTGAACCAAAAGGACTCCTACGAGTTGAGGGACATAATTAAAAACATATTTCTGTTAATTATTTATTGTAAGGTGTCCAAATTACTTTATTATATGCAGCACTTACAAAAACATGGCATAACTCTAGGATGTTTTTGAGGTCTAACTGCATTAGCTGAAGGTAGTCTCCAGGCCCAATTTAAAAACCTGCTTTTAGCCTTCACAGACCTAAACAGTATGAAGATTTGCCAAATCCATTCAGGCATATTCCTCTGTGGGGATCAAACACAGAACCAAACCATCATTAAGAGAGGACTTCTTAACATTTCAGACTGTCACAATCTTAATTCTTTAAATATTTCAAGGAATGTTTCATTTTCTTTTGTTTAATAATAAGATTACATTGTTTGTTCAAATACTCTATGAGAGTATTAAATCTTGAAAAGCACTTTATCTATCTTAGAAGTAATGACTGTCATAATGATAAGGATAATTAATACACCAGTAATTTTTACTTTTCTGGGAAGTAATTATAAAAAATAATCTCTCCACTTCCCTTGAATTAGTCTCAACTCCGGTTAACTGCATGGTCACATCCAGACATGATTTGCTCTCACCTTATCTTGGGTTGCTTACCATAATATCCTGGTCTGGTCTAATAATTGGATATATCCTGGCAGTTTCCATTTAAGTTTTAGCAGATGTGATCTTGTTTAGTTTTCTCAAGATTAGTTATGGTCAGCTAAATGCTGCCACCCGGTGTGACCACAACAGTATTAAAAGAATGAGAGTAATTTTTGCTGAACTCATCCAAACCTAACATCCTGCCTAAGCAGTGTGCCACTAAGTTCAGTATTCTATCCATTGTCCCATATTGTTTCTTGTAAGTTTCCTATCTTTTGGATAAAGTAAGCATGCCTATGTTTTATTGTTTTTTAAGAAAAACACTTTATACATTACATATAAAATGTGTGCTGTGCTAATACATATTAAGATATTGGGTTTCAAGATTTCTGCTAGGCAAAGAGTCACTCGTTGTTGATCTAATCTTTTGCTTATATCCTAGCTCTGAAACAAATGAAAAAGTTCAAATGAAAAACAGTGAATGTCTTCTTCCTGCTAGGTGAGACTGCATTTGAGGAAATGTTTACTCAGCCTTGAAAAGTGGAATAAAAGGGATCAACTTAAAGATCTTTCTTACAAGTGATCTTGCTGGGGAATAAATATAAGTCTTTACATTTCTATTACACTTTGTATGGGAAAAAGACTTCAACAGAAACTACTGCTGCACTTTGTTGCTCTATCACTTTTTTTTTTTTTTTTTGGCAAAGGCAGACCTCAGCATGACCAGAACCACAATGAATCTCACCTGACCCTGGACTGCAGAAGTCCAAACCACAAGTTTGACATTTCCCCAATTCTTGTAGCCACAAAGACATGCAGGGCATTCACTGATTTCTCAACATTGTTTTAAACTAAATTAATATTGTCTGTAAACGTATCTAAATAGTGACAAGATAGGTATAAAGGTCTCTCAGCAGCCTGAAATCTGAGTCTTTTGTTTCTTTAGTTCTCTTGTTCTTTCCAGAAATGGGATAGTGACTGTGTGCTCTCTCCACTTCTCTTCTCACTATATACCAAAGACTGTATCTCAAAAGATCCCTCTGTTAAAGTACTGAAGTTTGCAGATGATACAACAGTGATTGGTCTCATTCGAGACAACGATGAATCTACATACAGATGGGAGATTGAACTAGCCTTGTGATGCAACCAGAATGATCTTGAACTAAATACACACAAAACCGTAGAAATGGTGGTAGATTTTAGGAGAAACCCTTCCATACTACCTCCTCTTACAATACTAGTCAACACAGTATCAACAGTAGAGACCTTCAAGTTTCTAGGTTCTATCATATCTCAAGACTTAGATGGACATCTAACATCAAAAATGTCATCAAAAAAGCACAACAAAGAATGCTCTTTTTGCGCCAACCCAGAAAGCTCAAACTGCCCAAAGAGCTGCTGATTCAGTTCTACAGAGAATTATTAAGTCTGTCATCTGCACCTCTATAACTGTCTGGTTTGGCTCTGCAACCAAACAAGACAAACACAGACTTCAATGGATAATTAAAACTGCAGAAAAAACAATTGCTACCAACCTGCCTTCCATTGAGGACCTGTATACTGCAGGAGTCAAAAAGAGGGCTGTGAAAATTTCTACAGCCACCTCACATCCTAGACATAAACTGTTTCAACTTCTTCCCTCAAAACAACGCTATAGGGCACTGCATACCAGAACAACTAGACACAAGGACAGTTTTTCCCGAAATGCCATCACTCTGCTAAACAACTAATTCCCACAACACTGTCAAACTACTTAGTAAGACTGTATTACTATTATTCTTTTCATCCTTCCTATTACTTATCTCTTCCCACATTACTATAACCGTGTTGCTTGTATCTTTACAATTTATGCTGGTTTATTTGTTTCCTAGTATGATTTGACTGCTTATTAGTAACTTATGACTATCAGTAAGTGTTGTATCTTATGATTCTTGATTCTTGTATTTTTATTTTTTTCTTATGTACACAGAGAGAATATGCACCAAAGACAAATTCCTTGTGTGTCCAATCACACTTGGCCAATAAAGAATTCTATTCTATTCTGACATGGATTGAATGAAAGCTTAGATATTAAAGCAAAGATTTTCAGCTATTTTCTTAGAATATGTAGGAAAGATATTTTATTTTGTTCTATGGAGCATGGATTCCTCATTGTTCTGGAAATTCTGAACAACATTTGTAAACGTTGGTCCTGCAAGTAATACCTGGGAGGCTTCTTCTATCCCATTTATTTCTTATCCCAGTTTGGTACGTAGAGAGTTCTTGCCATGATGATAAATTTAATTGGAGTCATGACAAGAACAGGTCTAATGCAGAATATGGTTAGAAAGAAAGGACAGAAATCTGATGTCATAACGAGTCTGTCCTTCCCTTGAACAAAAGCTTATCATTTGCAATCCATTAACTAATCTTAAATGTCACAGTATAGGTGAAACTATAGAAGACTACTGCAGCTACAAAGTATACTTTATTCTCTGAGCTAGTCTAGTCTATATATGTACAGTTATTTCAATGTTCATTCTGAACAACTTTCTTTAAGAAGTGCTTCTTTAAGAAGTTGCTTTAAAACAATCAATACTTTGTCTCTAGAAAACAGAATATTTTGCCAAGGTTTGTGTCATCTGAACTGATTGGGGCCAATATGCCAAAGTCTGCAACATCACTGGTGCTAAGTACCAACTGTTTACTTGACATTACTATTTGTGACCTTTTAAGAAATTCCTTATATAGATAAGCAGATATACAAAGAAAAAAAAGTAACCACTCAATCCTTTAAAAAAAATTTAAATACACACAAAGAAATATTCATATTCCAAATATTCAGATCTTGTTCTTGCCTAAAGAAATGTAGCACAGTAATTGTCCCAAAGGTGCTTTTTTCAGAAGGCAACTGGACTTTCTGTTTTTTCTTTGAAGACGTTTCGCTTCTCATCCAAGAAGCTTCTTCAGCTCTGACAGGATAGCGGAGAATGATTTATATTCCTTGCAAACAGCTGGTCATTTGCATCCTTTTAGAGCAGGGGTCAGAGGTGGTATTCAGTAGGTTCTGACCAGTTCTGGAGAACTAGTAGTGAAAATTTTGAATAGTTCAGAGAACCGGTTAGTGGTAATCTTCCCCCAGGAGTGGGGTGGGAGTAAGAGTTTTTACAGTATCCTGCCTCTGCCATGCCCACCAAGCCACACACACCAAGCCATGCCACACCCACCAAGCCACACCCATGAATTGGTAGTAAAAAAATTTTGAATCCCACCACTGGCAGGGGTGTCAAACTCAATTTCATTGAGGGCTGCATTAGGGCTGTAGTTGACCTCAGGGGGCATGGCCGAGTGGGTTGGTGTGGCCAGGTGGGTGGGCATGGCCAGCTTGACATCACTCCCCAAACTGCTGGCAAGTTTCCTCTTTGCATTGTATAGACCAGCCGAAGCGACGTGGGCCGCTTACATTTTCCAGGCTGGCCCCACGGACCGGATCCAACCACATCGCAGGCCTGTTTTAGAGAGTTGTTGAAGCACTTAGAGCTTTATCCGTGTCCTGAGGGTCACCCAAGTAATGTTCCTGGTTCCTGTAGTCTGCAAGGAACTGCAGACTACCAGGAACCTGGAGCACTACTCGTGTGGCCCTGAGGACACAGATAAACCTGCAAGTGCTTCAACGGCCTTCTAAAAGGATGCAAATATCCAGATGTCTGCAAGGAATGTAAATCCTTCCATTTCCCACTATCCTGTCAGAGCTGAATGAGAAGCTCAAAGAAAAAATAAGAAAGTCTAGTTGCCGCCTGAAATAGCACCTCTGAGACAACCATGACCTGGATGACTGAGAATTTCTACAGACTTTTAGCGTAGCAATTGTATACATCAAAGTTGATGTTCAATTGAAATTATGTGACATCTGACAATATCTCTGCCAATTTTCAAGATTCAGTATTGCATATCTATCGATTTAAATGTTTAAAATATTATCAGTGTAACATGCTATTTTCAGAATCACTACTTCATGGATATTATTGGTGAGAACTATGCCTATACAAAACTATCTCAGATCTCCTGGACCGTTCTTATGCCACTAAATACCTATCAGCAGTTCAGTGGTCTTTAGATGCCAGACATAACTCTGCAAAAGTTATACATGTCTGAGAATATTAAGGGCAGCAAATATAGGAAAAAAGCCCACCAAAAGGTTCATATTATTGGCCTGAATATATTATTATCTAGAAATACATTAGTAATGTATTTTCTACTAGTTATCTAGCAGTACCTGTAGATAAACCTTTTTTGCACCAGGAACATAATCTGCAATTCTGCCAAAGACCAGCCGACCGATTCCTGAAGTAATGCCAAGACAAAGTATAAGTGTTGTATCTGGAACATGTTCACCAATACGTTCTTTCACGTGGTTTAGCTATTCGGAAGGAGGAAAAACAGGATTTTAATATAACAAAAAAATCTAACACATAATACTTTAGTTTAAAATCAGCCGTATTTTAAAATGTTATTACATTTGTACACATTGTTTAAACAATCATATCTCAGCTTTATAAATTTGTTTGTAAATGTTCCTCTTTTGTTCTTGTATTTGTGATGCAACCAATGAAATTAAGAACCAGCTTCAAATTATGACCTAGCTTTGTACTTTAGCCAGTCATACTATCCTATCGTGGCTAATTAGAGTCTTCTTAGTTTAATAACAGCCCATATAAATGGACAAACAAACAAACAGCACTCATTGATAAAGTACTTGTTTATATCATGACTTAGTAAACCAAGTTAAGGTTTACTAGATAAGGTTTACAAGAAAGGATTTAGCTAAGCTGTTCTCATTTATAAAAATCACAGAACCAAGTCACAACGGATACAGTATTTCCATATACAAATGTAACTGAGTTGTATTGAATTCAGTTTCCCTATTGTATTTTCAAGTTGATTGGTTTCAATCAGATAATTACCAGACTTGGACTTCGAAAAATATAAGAACTGAAAAACCCACTGATTTCTTGAAAGCATTAAAAACAAGTCTTACAGCTAAACTTTGTAAACTTTATAATCAAAAGCTCAAGTAATAAGAAAAGCAGCTATGAACTGCTGCCATATTTGCAGAATGTCTTCCATGAGCCAACATTTAATCAATGATAATTCTAACAGCATCATTTGTAAGCTGGAAAAACACAAGTAATTCAGATTCCATGCTGGGTCATTCTGCATAATTATGGTACTAATCAACTTTTTACTGGGCAAATGTTTGAAAGGAAGGATGAATGCTGGGTTCTTATTCAGCACCTGTGTCAGAGAAAGACTGGCTGGGTCAGGGGGAAGAGTCAAGCAGGGAATTAGTCTGGAATCCTTATGTAGGCACAAGAGGGCAAGGTCTTACCCCTCCACACAGACACACTTGAATGCCATTGAACCTTATCTAGTCTTTTCTAACAGCCAGTCTGGGAAGATTCTCGTGAAATAGGCATGAGCAATAAAGTAGCTAATTGAACTCTTTACATATGGATCTCATTGTTCACACCTGATAACCTTCTAATTCATGAGATTCAAATTGTTTTTGTTCAATAAAGGCAGGTATATGTTCAGAAAAATAAACAAGGACAACACTATGTTTAAGTATAAACACTTTATAAAAGAAAAGTATCTAAACATTAAACTTAGAGTATCAAAAGAATCAAGAAGATGTGAAATTATTCTTACATATAGCATGAGTTTAAATTTAAGGGACCAAAATTAAAAATAGGAAAGAATAATACTGCACGTATCACAAATTATTGAACATTTCAGGCAAGAAGCCCTTCAAAGTTATATAACTAAAATAACAGAATTCTCATTCATCTCACAAACCCATTTAACTGAAAGGTTTAAGAGACTAATCAATAAACCACACTGATAAAAATTATTTTTCAAATGTTCCTTTTTTTCATACTATTTTGATTTTTTTTAAAAAAAACCCTCTGTAAAAGCTCAAAGTTTTAGATTATACCAGCTTTATAAAACATAGTAATGTGGTTGAAAAATACATCTGTTAGTATGTAAACATGCAAACAATTTTTTTCTATAGATAGGATTTGTGCTTTTTTACAACTGTAAGAAATTCATTTAATCCCTTGATACTACAGGAGAAATTAAATACTATAATCTTATTATTTACAGGAAGAAGTGATCTATATTACCAAAGAACAATATTTTTCCCCTTTTTTGTTCATAAATGAACCATCTGTGCAAGCCATAGCATAGCTAAGGACTTTTCCGCTGCTTAGTTGATAAGTTCTTTACTCAACCTTAAGTCTGCAAAACAAAAATGAATTGGCATGAAATTGGCTACTTAGCTGCTAGTACTTCTCTTGCTTCAGCTTCTTCCTTCTCAAGTCAATTGTCTGAGCTCCCTCTAAATGAGGAGTGACACAAATCTTGCTAGATTTTACCAACTTTTCAGATATCACTGTGGAGAGTATCAGAATACAATATAGGAGGAAATATTATTCATAACTCAGGATGACTTAAGCCTGTCTCACTTATGGGTTGTGCCAGGATGAAAGTAATCTCATTAGAATGCAACAGGGAAAAAAAGATATTGCTGAGATATGATAAGGTGCACATGGATAAAGAGATCCACAGTTGCAATTTAAGAACACCAATTCAATATTCTAAGAAACCTGAGCAAAATCTGACAGCCATAATGCTTAAAAGCAAGGGGGTTCTGACTATCTTGATATGTACTCCTGTATTCCTTGCTCTTAGATATACTGAGAACAAACACCTAGACTTGAAAGCGTATTTCAGAGAATGTTTTCCAAATAAATGTTCTCAGGAATATCATGTCAAAAGTGAAGTCAGGTTCAGAATAGCTATAAGCTATTCTGATATCTTTCGGGAAGAGCTTAATGGTCTGGCTCTTCCACCAGAACCTGGGCCCAGATTATTTGTGAACCCTCTGGCATGCTATATGTTCTTACAATTTTACATTCCTTCATTTGGTTGTCTATTATGTATGTGTGTTAATATTTCATTATGTTTCTCACTGATTATATATTCCCTGCAGAGTTGTGTGACAATTAGATGATCTACGATCAACTGATAAATAAACTATTGTCAAAAATCACTGGATTATTTTGCACCAAATGATACTTTCACACTCTAATCTACTTCATGTAACTGTTCTCAAGGTAAAATGGGATCATGCCTCCCAGAACTCTTTTGAGAGAATATTAACAAAATAAATTCTGAAGAGCTATTTAGAACTACTTACATTAGTAAGACTCAGTCTGTTCTAAAAATGCATTTTTAAATGCCAAAGCAGCACAAAAGAGAAAATTGGAGAAAATCTTTCTATTCATATATGTCTATTTGGTGTACCAAAAGTAGGCCCCATAGACAAATTCAGGCCCCATAGACAATTATATAAATTATATTAAATATTCAAATATTTTCTCCTGAACACATCCTTAGTCATTTGACTCATGACCTTCAAAAATTCATAAGTACAGTGTAGTTGCATTTTCACTAAAAAAAATGCTATGTTGTAATTGACCTATGGGATCTGATTTTTGCCTGTCTGTCTGTCTGTCTGTCTATGTATCATCTATCTATTTTATCTCTGTTATTGTGACTCTGAAAATTTCACAGAAACTTAAATAGCAGGTTCAGGAAAAAGGTTGGGCATAATGTTCTGTTAATTATCCTACCTGCCTCATATATCTTTGCAGATATATCTTTGAAATAGAGATGCTCATAATCCACAATAAATTAAAAATGTATAGACACATATTCTATACACAAATACAAATCAATATCATATTTTCTTATTTATATATAAACCAGACAAAATAGAAACAATCCTCCCCCCTCCAAAAAAAAAGAATGATAAAATGTATACTGTCTTATGGGACATGGCTAATAACATGTATGAACTTCAACAGAAAGCTTTCAACCATTTGAAATGCAGTTACCACTCAGAATGCAAACTACCTTCTAAATAAGTTTTGTGAAATAAGAAAAGGAGTGCCCCATCTTTTATTTTCTCTTTATCTGACTGCCTCTATGTTAACTTCTGGCATATGTGACCTCAACAGCAAGATCTGAATGGCCTTTTATTTATCTCATTCATTCATTCGAGTTGTTGGTACTCTGATGCTCAAATCAATAACTTTACACTCCTGCTCAGGAAAAAGTGTTGGAGTTGCATCCTTATACCTTATTTTTGTTTTTAGTTTTTTTTTAAAAAAAGTCATACACTACCAGCAGTCTTTTGTTAATTTTTATCAAGTATTTACCCAGCAAACGGTGGGTAAATATTAAATATACAATAGATATAATGCAGTTTTAATTTTTATCATGTGAGGATTGCATTTGATACAGGACTAAATCAAATGCTTCTGGAGAAAGAACCTTATTTTGTTTTTTTGCCCAGAGCAAAATAGTCCTATTCAAAAATCAGTCAAGCTGGGTACATGGCATCTCAATAATGCTCAAAATGTAACTATTTTGTTGTTTCAACCCTGAAACAAAACTATCTGAACAAGCATGTTTTGTTTTGGACTTCAAATGTTTGAAACAACTTGCTTGAAAGCTGTTTCCTATGACTCAATACTCAAAATGTCAGTATTTGAAATGGTCAGATTTTGTTCCGAAAGCATGGAATGCACACAAGTCTTCTTTGAGCTTGGAACACCTTAAAAGTTTTGAGCTGAACACATTTTGCATGACTCTGTAGAAGAATAAAGATCTCATTATTCACAAGAGACACAGTTTTTTACCAACTTCTTTCCTTTCTCTAAAAAGAACATGTCTTTAAGTGGTTCTTCCCTTTTCTCATCATAGGTAGGAGATGCAGAAGCTATAAGTCTATTCACTTTCCCTTTTTAAAATATATGAGCTGTTAAATATATACTTTAATGCCACGATTAAAAAATGCTGGTACTGATGTGGTAAGTGCATGAGACAAGGGATTTCATTTAAATGTTTCATCTTGACAGGCAAGATACTGATTAATGTGAATACATAATAGAGAAGGGTACGATTCATTCTTGGGAGAAAAAAGCAGGGTTTGAATGAAATATAAATAAATATATTGAAATACATACTTTGGCTGCAAAAATATCACCTTGTAGAGAAATAGCCAACACACAACAATGTTTCTTCCCATATATTTCTACTGAAGCTTTTCATGAAAGCCCTGCTCCAGGCATCCACGCAGACTGAAAAATCTTGGATGGTTTGTTTGGAGCAGGGGATGCAGTGGCTCAGTGGGTTATAATGATGCTGGAGATGGTCTTTGCTCCAGCGGTTTGAACCCTAGCACTGCATGGTGGGGTCAGGATCATGGAAATTCTTAGAAAGCCTCTCTCTAAGCTTCTAAGAAAATATGTACAAGAAGGTAAATGGTAACTAATAATTATAATATTTGAT